TACATATTTTGTGTATATACAGGCCCCCCTATTATTCAAACTGAAAGCAATACTTTGAAAATCTTGAAATTCTTTTATCAAAACTGCCACCCAAGGCAGGTTTGATACTAGGGGGAGACCTTAATATAAATTTTGATGATGACAGATCAGAGGCACAGCAAACTCTGTGTAACTTGTTTTTATCATTTGACCTAGAGATGTATGTTAACGAACCTACTAGAATAACTGTTCATTCTCGAACCAAAATCGATTATCTGTGTTCAAATTTTGTCTTAAAGCAAATGTTTGTTAGCTGTAGTGTAATTCCTGTAGGCATTTCGGATCACGAGGCAGTTTTAGCAAAATTTCAACTTGCGATAAATAAACCACCAAAATATAAAGTTGGTAGACTACTTAGCAGCAACAATTATAAAAAATTTAAAGATATTTGCAAGGAATTAAATTGGCCAGCAGTTTTGAATTGTCAATCACCACTAAACGAATACCAAAAATTAGTAACTGATGCATTTTTAAAATCTTTTCCATTACAAAAAATTAAGCAAAAGAAAAGTAAACTTTGGATTACTCCCGCTATTAAAGTTTCATCAAAAAACATGCGTTCGTTACAAAATATTCGCAAATTTACTGATTGTCCTCAGTTCATAAGTTATTTCTGCAGATATAGAAAAATTTACAAAAGTGTTTTAAAAGCAGCTAAAGAAAAGTTTTATCAGAATAGAATAAACTCCTCCAAAAATGCCAGCAAAGAAAACTGGAAAATAATTAATCAGTTAACTGGTAAAAACTCAGTTCTTCAAACAGATGTTAAATTAGATCCCCATATTCTCAACAACTTCTACTGTAGTGTTGCTGATACTTTACAACAAAACTTGAAAAGTAATGTGGATCCTGGTTCTTATTTATTGGATGTTAAAATAAATGACACATTTGTACTGGAAACTACAAACGTATTAGAACTTAATGAAATCTTTAGAGGAATAAAAAACAATAAATCCAGTGGGCACGATAATGTTTCATTAAATTTGCTTAGAAACTTGCCTGATAATGCATTATATGTCTTGTCTGAATGTATTAATATTTCATTTTTAACAGGAGTATTTCCAGACTGCCTGAAAAAAGCTATTGTGTTGCCTGTTTATAAGGGTGGCGATTTGGACAACCCATGTAATTATCGACCAATATCACTTCTCTCGACGTTGTCAAAAATAGTTGAAAAGTTAGTTAAAGAAAGAATGTTGAAATATTTTTCAAAACACAATATAATAAGTGACACTCAATTTGGATTCCAACCATTAAAGGGCACCCATGATGCAATGTTTAATCTTTTGGAACAGGTATTCGTCAGTCTTAATGAAAGTGAGCTTGTCTCCGTTGTGTTTTGTGATTTCTCTAAAGCCTTTGATTGCGTAAATCATAAAATAATGCTTAAAAAACTAGAAATTTATGGCTTCGGAGGAATCTCATACTCATGGTTTGAATCTTATTTCTCGGGAAGAGAACAATTTGTTAAGATTGGTGATACTCAGTCATCAAACTTGGCTGTGACCAATGGTGTCCCACAAGGATCTGTGTTGGGACCAATATTGTTTTTACTTTATTTAAATGATATTAATCACCTCCCCATTAGAGCTAAAATAACATCATTCGCTGATGACATTACTCTGTCCTGGAACGGAAAAAATATTGAAGAGTTGAAAAAGATTATTTCTGAAGACCTAAATCTTGTAAAGAGCTGGTGTGACTCTAACTTGCTTTGTTTTAACTCTAAGAAAACCAACATATTGACATTTAAATTTTTTTTTCATGATTTATTATTAGACACACACACAATTGAAAATAAAACTAGCTGTAAATTTCTTGGTGTTCATGTTGATACTCAACTTAAGTTTAATGAGCACGTTACAAATCTAAACAAACGATTGGCAAGTGGTTGCTATGCTGTAAGAATAGCGTCAAATGAACTTGGTTTGAATACTGCTAAGTTGGTTTATTTCTCGTTGGTTGAATCTCATATCAGGTATGGCATTGCATTTTGGGGTAACTGTTCTAATAAATTGTTTGATTCTGTTTTTGTCATTCAAAAGAGAGCAGTGCGCTATTTGTGTAAGGTTGGATATTGGGAGCATTGCAAGCCACTATTTTTAAAACATAAAATACTTACAGTATGCTGTATAGGGTCAACTGGGGTAAATGTAAATGGGGGTAACTGTAAACGCAGGTATTTTTAGTTTTAAATTTGGCGTTTTGAACGAATGGCCGCCATAATACGTTACATACATCCCTCACATGACCACTCCAACAAATTCGGCTTCCCGGCATCCATTGTTCAGTCTGCTATAACTGCTTTATGCAACAGGCGCAAATATTTTGAAAATAAAAGTGAAGTAAAGTGCAATATTGATAAATTTTCAAATTAATTAAAGGTATGTATCAATTAAATTATGTTACTGGGCTTTGTGAAGGTCCATTATTTATCGTAATTTGTTTGCTGTTAAAAAAGTGTTTACTTTCACCCCAGTGGTGACTGGCTTTGGGTAAATGTAAACGCGGATTTGGGGTAAATGTAAATAGGTGTATTTAGTCTAAAATTAACAAAAACCTAAAAATTATGTCCTTTTTTTTGTTTAAGATAAGGACTATGTTGTTTTAATAGCAGGACTTAACGACACTGATATCCGAAAAGATGACATAGTATTGCTGTCAAATAAGTGTTTTAGAACGAATTTGTTAGTCTGCAACCTCCCATATAAAAATAACTATGGCAAGAAATGTTTGTATGTTAGGAATGTAAAAAATTATGTCCTTTTTTTTGTTTAAGATGCCTAGAAATTATATTTAAAAGACCAATGGTCCTTCATACACACAACAAGATTTACAACGAGCGATAGAAGACATCCAAAATCGTAATAAAACATGCCGACAAGCTCAGGCTTTTTATGGCGTTCCCATTGCTGTTATTTGCCAAAGAGTCTCTGGAAATAGAAGGACTGCCATAGATTGTATTTTTCATTGGTATTTTCTGAGGAAGAAAAACAGCGCTTTCAGCAGAAATTGCTGGACTTTTACCTGTGCCCATGATAAAAAATAAGGAAACCCGCATATTTTACCATTTTGTTAAAAAAAAATCCTGTTTCTGAAAAGTAAAAGATTTTTTAATTATTCTGTAGAGTGTAATCATTTTATTATCTATTTTGTTTTTAATAATCTATACCAAAGTCTGCACCGAAGTATTAAAAGTTATAGAGCTTCTGTTTTAGGTACTTATATAATATTTAAAACTTGGAAAACATTTGTTTTTTTTTTTGCTTTTAAGTAGGTACTTATAGTTCGCCTTAAGAGTCTAGCACTAGGACGTCTGAAGGGCAAGGGGGAATAACGCCATTCATTTCGAGCTTTATGCTGCCTGTCATAGGCGTGCGCGCAGCGTTTTAAAATATTATTTTTTCCTTATAAATGTAGGTTTGTAACATAGATAAATATTAGGGTATTTTCTATTGGATGTCTAATATGCAATATTGCAATTTTTTTATCCGCATTCTTTCCATAGTGCTAGACTCGTAAGGCAAACTTTACCTCAAGAGTGTTTTTAGTTTTAGTTTGGGTTGTATTCATATTTTCTGTAGTTAACTTAAGTTTAGATGATTTTATATTTCTTTATTTACTTTCACTTTTAACAATAAAGACTCAAAAACACATGGGTATTATATTGTTATTAATTTAATAATCTAATTCTGGGGTAATTGTAAACATCGTTTGAGATATTTATACTTCTAACGAAAAAAACGGATTATCGATTTGTTCACATTTTCCCTTTTGTAACCATATTAAAATGAAATGTACAGATATGGAGTGTTTACATTTACCCCCAATGTTATGGGTAAATCTAAACACCACACCTATTTTTAAGGACTTAAAATAAAAAAGAAATATTGTCTTTTTGGAAGTTTTTATATTAAACATCCAAACCAAATACATGAAATAAAAGGCTACTGATATTTATTGATTGCATCTTGAATAATAAGAGGAACAAAACATTTTTTTGGGAAATTGTAAACAAAGTTAATAAAACCGTTTACATATACCCCAGTTGACCCTATTTATCATGGAAACTGCTTGCCTTATGCACAAAAAACATTATGATGAGTTAGAATATCCAAGAACTTATCCAACTAGGCAAATTCTTAAAATTCAGCTTCCTATACCCAAGACTGCATTGGCGCAAAATTCACTAATTTATAAAAGTAGGCAAATTTTTAATCATCTGCCTGTTAACTTAAGGCAGATAGGTGGTTTTAAAAAGTTTAGACTAGAGCTCAAAACATTTTTACATGGAAAAGCCTACTATCATATTAATGAATTTTTAAATGAAAAATTTTAATTTTGTTTGTTTCATTGTTTTGTTTTGTTCTGACCGCAACCTTTATGTTTTTTCTGTATTGGCTGTACCTTCTATATGACTCTATAGTTTGATGTAGTAAAAATTGTACATGTGTTGCTTAGGATTATGCTTTGACATTTATGTTTATGTTTATTTTTTATTTTATTGATTGTACCTCTTTTTGTTTTTTTATAACCCGATAATTTTTAATTACTTGCACATTATTTAAGATCATGCTTTGTCAATGAAATTTATTTTTCCGACAATAAAGTATATTTTGATTGATTGATTGATTGAAACATAAACAATGCCGCTAATGCCACTTATTGGCCGCTATTGTAAACAATGTGTAAAACTGATGTCAACCTGCAGAAACACCTCATTTTGCGACCAATCAGGGTCAAGCGTTATTGTTTATGTTTCAAAGTTTTCAATGTCAAAATCTATCTTGGAAAAAAACAAAGTATAGTCAGGATTAAGTTGTTCCCATGGTAGTCGATCAGGAAGGTGAGATCTATGACATACTAAAATTTGACTGTGGCTAGAAATCTCGTGAAAAGTGTGCAGGGTCCGATCTGTTAGAATTAACCTCAGAGGGAATTAACAAACAAGTATTACCTACCTGTGGGATCGCCACCTTGAATCATGAAATCTGTAATAACCCTATGGAAAATTGTATTATTGTAATAGCCTCTTCTAGCAAGCTCAGCGAAATTTCTACAAGTTTGTGGGGCGTGCTTCCAGTAAAGTTCTATCACGAATTCTCCCATACTAAAAGAAATGAGGCTCATTATTGGGAAAAATTGAAAATTCTACTTACGTGGTATCAAATTGTACGAATGGGGGCTGCCACATTTTGTCCGGTATTCCGGACTGGTTCATGTTTTGGGTGGCCAACATTTTAGGGTTTAATTTAATATTTAAATATTACAAAAAAGGCAAACTCTACTAACTAAACATTAACACTACCCCCAAAAAAAAATTAGGTTAAGGCAAACTTCCCGTAGCGATTTCAAAACGAACTATCTATGTCTCTGTCTCAATCCAAACAAACGACAAGGATAAAAAGAGTTCTTATCCTTGCTCTAGAAAAGTAAGGTTATGTTTTTTGTTTAGTTTTTTTTTTAAATTTTGAATATAATTTCTTTATCCATGGATTTGTATTTAGTGATTTCAGCCTTATTTCTTTTAAAATGTCGAACGCATTAGCACTTTTAAACAATTATGGAGGAGATTCATCAGATGAAGAAGTACCAGGACCGAAAGTTTCCACAAAAAGAACATTTAAAGAAGATGAAGACTGTAACTACTCTAAAAAAAGGTTTATTTAACTATTCAAGTTAGGCTGTGATTGAAATAAGTTGATTTTAGACTACCAGTGCCCCAACAATTTTTGCAAAGTAAGTCCCTGGAGCACCAAGACGACCCATCTTTACATGCCGGTAGAGTCAGGTCTTTTGCTCACGAGCGAGGAAACTGGGCTACATTTGTTCATATTCCTTGTAACTAGGTACTCAATTTTAAAAAATATGTCTCTATTAACGTTGTTTCTTAGATGAAGCTCAATGTGGAGTTGTAGAACTCTTCTCTCACATAGAAGAAACAGTGCCAAAGCATTTGGAATTGAAAATAGCTGATGATTTTCACATAAGTCTTACCAAAACAGTTATTCTTAAATATCATTGGATCTCAGCTTTTGTAAAGAGTTTACAAGAGAACTTGAAACACTTTAGAAAGTAAGTATTATTTATAACACAAGTAGTCCAATGAACACTATGAAATCCTGAAAAAGTTTCATCACTCTTTGAATTACAAAACTATCTAAGAAAAATACAATTTTTTTTTCAGATTCTTTATTCTATTTGATTCCGTTAAAGTATACTGCAATGAAGAAAGAACCAGAACCTTTCTGGGTATACAAATAAGAAGCGGCCGTGATACTTTGGTCAAAATGGTAGAAACTCTAGATATTTGTTTAAAGGAATATGATCTACCAACATTTTACAAGGACCCATCTTTTCACATGAGCATAGCCTGGTGTGTAGGTGACGTTGAAAAAGAATTGCAAAACTACTTGCCACAAATCAATGACAAATTAGAACAACTTATGGAAATACATAGTCAGGATAATTGGTATATTTATGTGGACTATTTGTTATGCAAAACTGGGAATAAATATTTTCAGTTTGTATTAAGTTAATAGTTTATTATAAGGCTAAAGTGTCGTTATTTTGGGATCACAATAATTAATATTCCTAATAATAATAATAAAAATATAACATTTTTACCCCCTTATTTCTCATTACATTTAGCTGTAAGATCTAAAGAGACAAGAAAAAAAAATTTATTAGTTTGTTAATTAGATAATCAAATTATCTTACTTTTTACAATGTTTTCCAATGCTGTTAAAACAGGGGAATCAGAAATCTCTTCAAAGCAATCATTAGCGTTATCACATGACTTGGCAACTTTAGGATCAAGAGGTAAACTTCCCAAAAATGGAACATTTAAATCCTGGCACATTTTTTCAGCCCCCCCAGTATTGGCTTTAAATATTTGCGAGCTTTTCTAAATTATTAAAAAATAATGATCCAAATAAACAAAAATCAATTTCTTACTTGACAACAAGGACAAATAAACTCAGACATATTTTCCACAACTCCCAAAATATTAATTTTTGTTTTCCTGCAAAAATCAATCTCCTTCCTTACATCCAACAAAGCGACTTCTTGAGGAGTTGTAACTATAACTGCCCCAGTCAAATTGGCTTGGGACAAATAAGTTACTGCTGAAAGATGTTCATCAGAAGTTCCAGGTGGAGTGTCAATTAATAAATAGTCCAATTTTCCCCAATCAACTTCGCTTAAAAATTGCTTAATCATTCCATTTTTTTTGGGACCTCTCCAAATAATCGCATCATCAGGAGACCCCAAAAGAAATCCTATCGACATGACTGACAGATTATCATCAACATACTGAAACAATTAATTAACAATTTTCAAAATGAATGTCTTTTGAAGAACTTGCCACAGGAGACCATCCAGATCCAGATTGGTGCACTTGTTCATCAACCACCCCCATGACTCTTGGCTGAGAAGGACCGCAAATGTCAATATCCAAAACAGCAACCTAAAGAATTTATTGATCCTTACTATCTCCCCTTTGAAATCAACTTTAGGTATTTTGCTAAAAGAAATGGGCCACTAACCCTGGCACAGAATGACACTATGTTCCATTTAAACCCATAGGGACAACCTTTTTAGAATTAAGGCTTATATAATTTTGTGTGTGGATTTATTAATTGTGTAATCATATATTACTAGATTTAGAGAATTATGATATTTGGACATGAAAAAGATAGGAGAAGTAGATATAACAGGGTAAGGAGCTACTTACATTTTTTTCACTGTCACTCTTCGCAAGGGCTCTACTCAGTAATCCTGTTACTGTGCTTTTGCCCACACCTCCTTTACCAGACAGAATGAGAATTTTATATTGCACTGCTTCCAATCTAAATTAAACAAAAATTATGGTAGTAGCTACAATTTTCTGGTAACATAACTACCTATCCTTCACTAAAGCTATTCCTGGATCAGGACCTTTGGGTGCAGTAGAGCAAATCTGTTGATTGGGGCAACCAGCACACGCTGATGCTTTGCCAGCCTCTTCGCTTTCAGTACCAGGACAATCTTTGATAGTAGAATATTTCAAAATATAAAGCTTGCAAGATTATGGAAATTTGTATAGGTACTTACGTTGTGGTGCATTTTCAGGCCTTGCCACTTCACTAGCCATAATAATTTTTCTTGAGAGAGGAAACTTCTTGAAAAATTAAATTATTTTCCAACTTGTTGATTTTTTAAACTAACATAACCTATAAATTTAAAAATGGATTCAGAAAAAGTTACGTCGGTCGAATGCACGAATAAATTAACCGCCAAAATTTGAAATGTCGCACTTCTAGTCAGAGTACTTTTTTTTCCGAAATAATCTTTAATTATGTCGAATACAGAAACAATCCTCTATTCGGTAATTATTGACTTGAAACAATGAAAATTAACCTTTTTAATAATTGATTATTTCAGCAACTCCAACCATGGAGTACCGTTGGAGCGACTCCGTGCATGGAACAAGTTGCGGGCCCTCCAATGCCCACAAGAACGGGGCAGTACTATCAAACCCCTCGCCCTCACCCGTGGAGGCCTACACTGGGATATGAAACGGTCGAAGTTACTCCCTTGTACGATTAAAATAGAAAAATCCTAAATATTAATTACTCGTAAATTTATTACAGACCAAATCAACATGCAACCAACTCCATGGTAGATCCCTGCTACACTCCTTATGGAATGGCTACTGAACCTTTGAAATTTCCCAATTTGGTTACCGGGTTTGAAAGAAACCCCGCGCACGCAGCTAGAGCTGCTCTGTACACTCGGTACACCCCTCTGGAATGGACTCAGAGCAACTTGAGACACTATAATGAGTCGGATACGAATAGGAATTATTCAGAGAGGCTCAGAGGAGATTTTATTCGAGTTATGAGGTAACTGCGAATCTACTGTTGAAGTTTCAACTTAATCTAATTTGGTTTATATTGAAGAGATGGGGTTTTTCGATGTCGCTCTTTTCTCTCTGTAAACTTGTCCTTGTTCCTCAAATTGCTTATTTCCTGTCCATTGTGCTATCCCTCTCTTGGTACAGCCCTGTCTTACCTTAAGAGCCCGCCACTGTATTAAGAAAGGTGCAGACCCGCTCCAGGCCGGGCATGCTTTATTTCATCAGGTTCCAAGTAACTGTAGGTACCCGAGGTATCGTAGTCTACGACTTACGAGGGCGTCCCATTCGCAAACTATATGCTAACCGTCCGGATTTACCGAAAAAAACCCGTGATTTTCACACCATCTTTCTACCATGTTAAGAGCTCTTTGCATGATCCTGTAGCAAAACGCCCCAAGTACTCTATGTTAGATGGTAAATGGCGAGCGGTATATTGATGGTGTTTATATACTTGGAGTTGCTATCTAATCTGTGGAAGGGTCTATTTGCAAGAGAGAGAAACAACCTGATGAGGTTTACTAAATTATATTTTATTTTACAAAAAACCAAAATCAGCCAAATATCTTTCAATCCTTTACATCCTTATTTATCTCTATAAATGTCAATTACTGAATTACTTCACATCCGTTCTAGATTGTTATTATTACGGACCACGGAAATATATCCCTACTAAATAAGAAACGCCCTATTCCTACTATTCCTCATAACTTATAAATTAACTCATTTCATCAATACTTCCTACTCATTCCTAATAAACTACCATTTTCCTAATTATATAAATTCTTTAAAATCTCTAAGTCCTTTACTGCGATTACTTAGGAAAACTCAAAATAATTACCTATTTGTTTATCAACTAACTTATTCTTATAAAACCTTACAATAACTTCTACTTGAAAAATAAAATCCCTAATTCAAAATTCATTTCATGAACAATAAATTTCCTTTAACAACTTTCCAATATTTTATGACAATTCTATTTCATGAACTTCAAGTTTCTTTTCAAAATTTTCTATTCCCTTTAATAGTTTATTTGATCAGAACAAATTCTATTATAAGTTTCCTTTAACAACTTTCCAATATTTTAAGACAATTCTATTTTTCATAAACATCAAGATTCTTTTCAAAATTTCCTATTCCATTTAATTAGAACAATTACTAATTCTCGCCATCCTGGCTAACATACAAAATTATTTAAATTCTTATTAGTTCTTTATTATAGCCCTTAATTTTCAATTGGACAATCCAGTTCAGTTCAAACTTCTTTGATAATCCCTACTCAAATCGAAACTATTTATGTTCTGTTAAATGCATTATAAATTCCCTTCATATTTTCTTTGCACAATTAATTTAGAATGTCATTATATCTGAAGGCAATTAAAGTTATGCAATAATGTTCCATTTATAAAACACTCGAGTTATTAATTTTAATGCAATTAAGTTCCACAGTGATTAAAAGTCAAAAGTTTTTCTAGTAAAATTCACACAAAGTCATGTTCATCATTTATATTCAAAAATAAATCTTGTCACTATAGAGTACTTACATTTTGTCCATACAACACACGTAAAATTACTTAATTAATTACTCAAAATGTTTAGCTAGCACGCACATAAATTGAACGACTTTCAAATGTTATTTCTTACACGATTTTCCGAACTTTTCTAAGTTAAAATCGAACGCGTTTTTCCCGAGGCAGCTTCGCTAATTTTCAACCGGACAAACTCATTTAGTTCTGTAGACTTTTACTCAACTGGACTGTTAACTGGCAACTAACTACTCCGTCTAAAAACGCGGTATTTATATAAAATTCGATGCCCCCAATCTCTTTGTCCATGACAATTAAGATGATGCAATTTCCATGGAATTTTATATAATTTTTAGCCTGAAATCAATTAATTATGTCGCAATATTCTGATTTATTGAGGTCAAAACGTTATGGGTTCAAGAATGCCATAATTCATTCGAATTAATTAGGTACGCCGATGGCCGTCGCTAACAAAAACTTCATTGATCGGATGTTAGTGATGTCACACTGTCCTCGTTATTATTATTTTTAAGAATTTAATTCAGATGATGACAAGCGGGGCGTCGAATTACGTTGCGTTAATTTGTTTCAATTATTAACTTTGTCGATACTGATTTAGAAATATGGAAAATTAAGTTTTTGATTATTTGATAAAATTTAATTTTTACTGTAAAGAGTTTGTAATTATCGGGTCAAATTTCTGGATCATTACAATCCCTTAGCCTTAGTGACGCCCAGCTCTCGTCCTGATGGGTCTTTCGAAAGAATCTTTTGGAGCTTGGGCAGCTACCGGAAGCTCGTCTACGTTTCCGCAGAACGTGCTCCAAGATTCTCTTTTGGACCTTCATATAAGATCTTCGTATCTGCGCTGAGACTGCTTGTGGCTGTCTCAGTCACTTCTAAAAACGCGGTATTTATATAAAATTCGATGCCCCCAATCTCTTTGTCCATGACAATTAAAATGATGCAATTTCCATGGAATTTTATATCATTTTTAACCTGAAATCAATTAATTATGTCGCAATATTCTGATTTATTGAGGTCAAAACGTTATGGGTTCAAGAATGCCATAATTCATTCGAATTAATTAGGTACGCCGATGGCCTTCGCTAACAAAAAGTTCATTGATCGGATGTTAGTGATGTCACCACTGTCCTCGTTATTATTATTTTTAAGAATTTAATTCAGATGATGACAAGCGGGGCGTCGAATTACGTTGCGTTAATTTGTTTCAATTTTTAATTTTGTCGATACTGATTTAGAAATATGGAAAATTAAGTTTTTGATTATTTGATAAAATTTAATTTTTACTGTAAAGAGTTTGTAATTATCGGGTCAAATTTCTGGATCATTACAATCCCTTAGCCTTTAGTGACTCCCAGCTCTCGTCCTGGGTCTTTCGAGAGAATCTTTTGGAGCTTGGCAGCTACCGGAAGCTCGTCTACGTTTCCGCAGAACGTGCTCCAAGATTCTCTTTTGGACCTTCATATAAGATCTTCGTATCTGCGCTGAGACTGCTTGTGGTTGTCTCAGTCACTTCTAAAAACGCGGTATTTATATAAAATTCGATGCCCCTAATCTCTTTGTCCGTGACAATTAAGATGATGCAATTTCCTTGGAATTTTTTATCATTTTTAACCTGAAATCAATTAATTATGTCGCAATATTCTGATTTATTGAGGTCAAAACGTTATGGGTTCAAGAATGCCATAATTCATTCGAATTAATTAGGTACGCCGATGGCCTTCGCTAACAAAAAGTTCATTGATCGGATGTTAGTGATGTCACCACTGTCCTCGTTATTATTATTTTTAAGAATTTGATTCAGATGATAACAAGCGAGGCGTCGAATTACGTTGCGTTAATTTGTTTCAATTTGTAATTTTGTCGAGACTGCTTGTGGCTGTCTCAGTCAGCTAATGATTTAGACTGTATGGTCCTGTTAAAGAGCCTGCGAATTTCTTTACGAGCCTTATTGTCGAGGTCGGAGTTCCACCAAGGGGTTTTCTTCTTTCCTCGATAGGGTCCGAAGCTGACAGCATCGTTCATACGCATCGGTGATTGCGTAGCGTATGAATTCGGCTGTTTCCTCGGAAAACTCTTCTAGTTTAGCTCTTAGAATCTCAACGTATTGGTCTCAGTTCGTGTTCCAGGGGTTCCTGAACTTACTGGGCCCACCCTTTGTGATCAATAAGGTCTAAGCCGAATAGGATGTGTCTGTGATCCGATAGGGACGGTTTGTCAAACACTGTTAATTTGCTTATCATCGGTGCCATGGAGAGTGAGCCCAATGGCAAGTGACAAAGGTAGGTGCGCTGCCACGGTTCAGGATTTCTAAATCCGTGGTGTGAAGGTACTCCAGAAGACTGAGCCCACTCTGGTTCGTATTGGTGCTGACCGACACAATGTGGTGTGCGTTGGCATCGCACCCGACAATCAAAGGAAGGCCCAGTGAGTTACAGTACTTCACCAAATCGATGAACTCCCGTGTTGGGGATTATCTATTGATTCATAGCGCAGATAGGCTGAGCAAACATCCCAAATTTCTGTTTTCTATCTCTTCTCCATTTGTAATTGACCAATAGCGCTTCTTCACAACTTATAGGCAAGTTTGGCTCTTCTTTCGATGCTGTTTCTACAGAGGAATCTCATATTTTATTCACTTCAAACTTTTCTTGGCACTCCAGTAATAATTTCCTCCTTATCCAGTTTAATAAAGACTGGCAATTAATTAACCTAACAAGCCAAATACATTTTAATTTTTGAAAATACCATTGAGAAAATGCACGGAATCCTTTCGCCAATTTTTCTAGAGAAACTGATGAAAAAACAGCTCAAGGCCAAAGAGAATCGGGACGTAGATTGGGAGAACGCATAACGGACACTACATATTGGAGAAACGAGCTTCGAACCGAACTCGAACGTCTCCTAACCGAAACCAGTCTACTGCAAGATGCCAAAAGAGCTATGGATAGAGCTATCAGCGACATTGAAGGTCCGCTGCACATAGCTCAGGAGTGTCTCTATCATAGAGAAAAAAGAACTGGGATTGAGTTGGTCCATGACAGTCCCGAGCAAAGCCTTCTGAGGGAAATTGAAACTTATAGAGCGGCACAGGCCAAGCTTAGATGCTTATCTGACAAGGTTTGAAATGTTTGTAGTGGATTTTAAATTTGGTATGAAGTTTTTTTTAGGTGGCCGATCAATTGAGAAATAATAGAGCTGCTCAGCATGAGCTTGAAACTGATGTCACTAGCAAAGAAGGCGCTTTGGGCATAGACAACATTTGCCATCAGCTCAATAATTTCTCTAAAGGAATCAACTATTATGGAGGAATTGAGAAATTTGATCCAACGTACTTAAATATTACACAATTTACCATTTAAAACTAATAAAGCTGCTTTTTAGCATAAGCACCACACTCACTTGGTCTGAGAACAGCAATCGTGTAGTTCAAAAATCTCAGTCGGAAAGAGGACATTCTGCACAAATGCGCTCAGATATTGATAATATGATTAATACTTGTGCACAAGAGGTACCTGAATCAATTATTATACAAACATTTAACAAATTAATTTGTAGGTATGGGATGCTTGGAGTAACACCAATAACTCCTTGGCGCGCAGAGCTGCTGAATCCCTAGAGACAAAGAGCAAACTTCAAAACCACCTACACAAGGTAAAACAAAAAATGTTTAGCAATAAATAATCTAAATTATTTTAGGTTCAACAAGAGCTTTTCGATTTGGAAAAGAACATAGAGCTTCTGAAAAAAGCCATAATCGATAAAAGCGCACCCATGAAAGTAGCTCACACGAGACTAGAAGCCCGAACTCACAGGAAAAATATTGAATTGTGCCGCGACACTGCGCAAGACAGACTAGCAGGCGAAGTACGCGATTTGCAAGACAGTATTGAGTATTTGCACAGGAAACTACAAGAAGCTGAAGCTCAGCATCAGCAACTTCTGAAAACCAGAGCTAATCTTGAAGAGGATCTTCACAACAAGTGCAACTCCTTGTTTATCGACAGGGAAAAGTGTATGGGGCTTCGTAGGTCGTTTCCTATCAGTGCGACTATAAAGTATTAATTTTGTTGGGAGTCGGTCAATGCAAAATTTTAGTTGTTGATACAAAGTTTAGGCAGGTATTTGTCAATAAATTGTACACTGTGGAATAGTTTTTTTTGTTTGCTCTTTCAGTTTTTTGGGTATTCTTGTTGATACAAAGCTGTACTTTTTTGATTGGTTTACTGTCTTTTATGTATGAGTTCCAGATAATATGTGGTTTTTATAAAGTTTTAAGATTATTTTCTCAGATTGATCCTTGAACCATTTCAGATCTGTTGTGGTGATGGGTGTTCCCAAGCCAAGTATTTTTCATTTGTGACGTTTGTAATCCTGTACTGCACCCCTGTAAATTTGGCACTCTTTTGTGATGTGTCTCTGGAAAATAAATCCAGAAAGGTAGCCCTTACAATAGGTTTTCCATATTCAAAAATTATCTAGTAGACGCTTTTCCAAGATCCAATTAAATTATGTCACTTGTTAAGTCTGTTTAAAAAGTTTGTGATTGTAGATTTGTCTTGAGATTGTAGCTGTCTTTCACTGTTCTGGATATTCAACATTCTGTCAGGGACTCCCTCAGAGAATGGAAACAGTAGTTCAACAAACGGACTCTGATCAAATTAAGTAAAATTAATTAAAAACACGTGATATGATGGGGAATTTGGTAAACGAAAAACAATTTTTTTTGATAGTAAATTACTGAATATAATTTCAGTTTAGATATGCAGTTAAAAAGTATTGATAAAATTATTCAAATTAAAAAATAACAGTTGTGATGTCTTAACCAATTATTGATTCATCACAAATTAAGCTAGATACCTGTATCACAATTTGAAATAAATCAAAACTAAAAATTATACATTACACCAGTAAAGTTGCCTTACGAAAGTAAATAAATATTATACTTATTATTTAAATTGTTCCAAGTAGACTAGAAGTGTGAAAACAACTTAAAAATCTAAAATTTTTCCCACTTTCGTCCTAGACTGCATAAAAATCCATTTTATATTTTCTCGGCCTGGCGAATGGAGAAAACCACAGAAGCGAAAACCTTCCAAAAACTGCCTGGATACTCTTCCAGCGTGACTTTTTCACCCACCTGGCCTCCTCCTTTTTCAACGTCTCAATACCAGTTTCATCGTTCCATATTGCCTGTACTTGAGTACCTATTGAATTAAATCAGTAATTGATTGATTATTAGCAGAGTAAATACTTACCAAGCATAACAGCTGTGAAAATGGCAAATAGTAAAGCCTCAAACATTAAAAACAATAATAAGACAATCGTCACTGGGGGCGAGTGACTGGTGCACTCTTTCCATTCGTGATGTACACACATTAAAAATTGATTAATTGCTAAGAATAAGGAATGAAGTGAAATTGCACAAATGTAGAACTGAAAAAAAAAATAGGGTAGTTAACATCAACTAAGTATGTGAAATAATAATTCAGTAATTTGAACTTCTAAAACAGATTTGAAGGTAAGAACTGTAATTTTGTTTTACAGGGTGATTACCAAAAATAAAGCTATATTCCACTGTTCTTTAAGTAATTTAATAGCTTCACCCAGCACTAAAACACATGACTTTCTCTAACTATCGAATCTGATTCACAGCTACCGCCTGAGAAACGTAAATTAACAGCTGGTAGTAGTAACTGGCCTATTACTTACAAAAGTTGAAAAAAGAAAAGGAACCTAAAGCAAAACTAAAAGAAAATAATCCGTACCCCGCCCAACAAAGACGATTGTCCAGTGTTGATGTGCAAAGAGACTTTCCCAAAGGAGTAGTGGAAAGCTTGGCCTCTAGAAAAAATATCCGAGAGACCCTAGTGTCTATCCAGATCTTGAATACCATGAGTATCCTCAAGATTAAGACAAAAATAACGATTTCAACAATAAACGATCCATATTGAACATTGTTAGGCATTATTCCACCAAATACGCATTCTATCTGATGATTGATATGGGTACTGCTGAGCAATCTTTTGCTGAATCAGAGGCTAAGTTCTGTCTGTGGTGCAAGTGACAGTATCTTTATTGTGCAAGTGACTTCGAAAATTGTTAAGTACACTTAGTTAAGTACACTTATTTTAAATGACTTGAAAATCGTTTCAAAAGCTCCAAAGGTAACTCAGAATTCTTGAAGAAAACTTAAAATTCCTTGGAAATTTTTCAAGAAGCCTCAAAAGTAACTCAGAATTCTCAAGAAAGACTAAATGACTTAGAAATTGTTTGAGAAGTTTCCAAAAGAGCTCATAATTCTTGAAAAAGACTTCAAACTAATTACAGTGGGGCAATTGTAGAGGTAAATTCTATTAGAAAGTTTACTCAATATATCCTATTCACAATCTGTAGTCCAAAGGTTCAGGTAAATTTATCACCTTTCCCTATCAAATAGCATTGAAAGGTGATAAATTTTACCTGTACCTTTGGACTACAGATTGTGAATAGATAATAGTTATGTTGAAAACATTTAGAAACCAATTCAGCATAGAAATAAAAAGTTGTACAATGAATAACTAACAACTTACTGTGAACAGTACAAAATATTTTTGATTATTTTCTCCTACACAATTATTAACCCAAGGACAATGATGGTCCATTTTCCTGATGCATCTCTGGCACACAGAACAGTGATGAGCCCTATCAGGCTTAATACTGCAACATTTAGGGCACTTGAAGATAATCTGGCCCTCTCTGAGACCCATTTGCTTCATTATCTCCTTTGTGGCATTGCCCTTTGGTACTGCGCCCTAAATAAACGTAAAAATTCAAGTGTTTGGCCTTTACAAATACAAAAATAAACTTACCGGATCCGTGAACATGGTTTTAAGATGTGAAGCAAATGCCAAGAAAGCACAAGTTTGGAATATAATTGTGTTTATCACGCTATATATAGTGTTTGTACTAGGATAAAGTATAACAGACATAACAACGAATTCGGCGTAGCATATAAGTAGCCAGGTTAATATTGCACATATGATACCGCAAATGTCTCTGATACACCAGAACATGCCTCCGCAACATTTGTTGTGGAAATCTGATTCCCTTCTGAAGGAACTGTAGTCGTATTCCATCATTTTCACTTATGTTTTAACTACCAACAAATAATCAATCCAAAGTTTCTCGAGTGTGTTGTCGCACATTTTATGTTGTTTTTTAATTAAATCAAGGTACCAAATAGTAACAAATATTGTCGGAATGCATTTTGTGTTTAACGTGTGAAGGCTAATCTAACATTTTAAGTGAGAAATTTGAAGAAACTTGGTAATTATTGGAAAATAAATTAGGCATTAAAAATTCACAAATCACAACAAAAATGTGACTTATTTACCAGATGTGACATTTTTTTGACAACCAAAACAATGAAATATGACTGGCGCCATCTAGTTTCAAATAATGTATTGCTGCATCTTAAGGGAAGAAAGGGAGTTTTTAAAAATGTAGGGCTTTTTAAAACCTTTTTTTTTTTGTGCTTATTTTTATCAAAAGGTCAAATTGAAAACAAGATCAGCACAGCTACAGTGACGCTACAGCTAGCATATTAAGGTGTAATATCCTTGATCATTAGGCACATACATGACGTCACTGGTAGTGGATCAAAATTCCAAAGGGTGAATGGTGGGCAAGGATGGTGGGAACCAGCGTGCCAGGTCTACTGATTTGGCCAGTGGTCTACTGATATACTGATCTCAATGTAAATTCTACTGATAAAATCATTTACCTGCTTTGCGCACTTTCCAAATTTCACCGATAAATTGACCGGTTAAATAAACCGGTAGCTGTCGAAAAATTCCGGTAAAAGTTAGGTGTATTTAAGTCCGGTTACAAGATTTTTCTGATGCATTTTGGAACGCGTTGGTGTGTTAAAGTTGAGGTTCAGAAACCGGTGAATTTTGAAAAGTGCCCTCCTATGATATTTTTTAAATTAAAATCTTGTAAGGTTCGTTTCTCCAGGGTTCATATAGGTACTTTTGTTATGGACACGTCATAGCTTGAAAAAAAAAGGGTTGTCGTAGATTATTTCATATGACACATTCAACTGGGGAATCCCCGGCGCTCGTGCGTGTTTGTGTTGTGTCTTGTTCTTGTTGTCTTAAGGTCTGTTTCCACAGAAATCACAAACCAGTCAGAGCGATTTTCATTGGCTGAAAATAGTCAGGAAACCGGATGTTGACGATTTGGACCAATCAAAAACGCGACTGGCTTGTGATTTCTATGGAAACAGACGTTTAGTCTTGTTTATTCAATAAATGTCTGATAAATAAATAAATGACATTATTATTTACATAAATAAATGACATTATTATCTATGATGGAATAATTACTACTTCTCAAGCTGGTAGTAAAAAACTACTTTACGCACTGGTAGTGCGTGACATTTTATGTCTTCTAAAAGGTGCGTAACGTGAGTACTTTACGCGCGGTAGTGGAAAAAACAATTATTGCGCCTTCACTTACAGTCGGGAATGAGATGTTGTACCCTCAGAGTACCCATACTTATACAGCGTGGTCCATTTAAATTGAGACATTTCAATATCTCGAAAATGGCGCGTTTTTGAAAAAAAAAAAGTTCAATAATGTCTTAAGTTCAATGACCCACCCTGTATACCTATTGTATATCGTGTGCTAGAAACTTAAAATTACCAATTTTTCATTGAATATGAAAATTGACTAAATAAAATAATACAAAGTAAAGTCTGTGTTTTTTTTTAAGGATAATTCCCCAAATCAAAAATTTCATACTTTAAAAATTCCGCTTTCCGCTTCTACCCTTTGCGAACGAAAATAAAAAATTTCCTCAAAAAGGCAAAAAGGGGATAATTCCGTCAAGCTGGCAACACTGTGGCTGACTCGTTATCAAACGCAAGGATATCAACAAAGCATTTGATAGGTTGGATATAAGCCCCGCCCATTTCCAATCAGATGCGAGTGATATCAGCAGGGCATTCAATTGGTTAGTTGAGCCCCGCCCCTTTCCGGGGTTTATGTATCGTCAAGGTATTTGATTGGTTGTTTCCTTTTCAACCCTTTCCAATGGCCCCGGCCCACCTACAGTGACTTAACCTTTTCAAATAGAAATTCGGTACCGCCGCCATATTCTTGCAAATTTTGAAAATGAATATTGAAGTTAGCCACGCCCCTGCCGTCATATTTTTGCAAATTTTTTGATGTTTACTCAGGTATTTTTATTAATATTATTAATATCTAAGTATATATTTATTTATTCTTTATTTTTCAATTTTTCCATCTTATATTTTGTCTATTCCCGGATCTTGAATTTTCGTTTTCTTCTTAATTTTTCTAATGGCCATTTCCACTAACTATTTTAGGTAAGTCCTAACAATAGGTATGCCTAAGGGTCAAATTATGGACTGACTGGTAAACGTTTGGTTGTTACCTAGCAGGTACTTTCTATGCACTAGAGAATAGAAAGTACCTGCTAGGTAACAACCAGAGACTTACCAGTTGGTCCATAATTTGGCCCTTAAACTGACATTTCTCCATGTAAAAATGTCATTTTATTTAGGGAATACTTATCGTTAGGGCTCCCCTATAAAATAGTTGAGGTTTATAATACGTGCTCCAATTATTTTTTTTGAACGCCCCCTTGAAAGTGGTGCCCTCTATCAACAGCTTATGATAACTTCCTATGTACCTACAGAAACCTGTATATTTTTTTTTATTTGACGTATGAAATTGAAATTGAACCAATGGGTACATTCAGGCGGTTCACTGTAAGGCGGTCCCAACTTGTCTAAGGTCCCAACCAATGAGTCCCAACGGCTAAGCTCAGCCACTCAGCAGGGACTTTATTCTCGAAACCAAGGAACAGCGTTCTTAGAAACACGATTGCTCTGTCATTGTCAATGTTATGCCGGACGACAAAGACAGAACCTAGGTTCCAATGAGTACGCTGCTCCCCTGTTTCGAGAATAAGGTTCCTGCTGAGTGGCTGAGCTTAGCCGCTGGGACCGCCTGAAATAATGTACCCATTACTCAACTTTTGGCGTATCTGCGGCAGAGTGTCAGCGTATCCAATATGGCGGGACTTTGGCCAATCCTTAGACAAGAAAAGAGAGAGGACTGGTAATCCGTCAAGCCTGCGTGTTACCGGCTGGCCCAAGACCGTTTAGGCCAGTGGCGTATCACAAAATCATACATAGTTAAAACGGTAAATGTTTAAATGGTTGATCACCACGCCAAAATTTACGATTTTTTCAGGATATACGTATTTTGGGGGGCGTAAATTATGAAATAATCAGTTTATTCGCTCTTAATTAGTTTTCAGGACTTTTTTAAATTAAAATCTAGTATTTAAATGGTCTACGCCACTGGTAGATTCAAAGGATTTGACAGATCGAATTAACAAAATTATTGATTTTTCAATCGAAACATTTAAAATAGGGAATTATATCTAGGCCCGTAATTTGCTTACGCACAGTATAATATGATACTTATAGGGCATGTATAAAATCTGTCCCCAAATATAAAAAAGCGCCTGTATAATGATGGTTTTATTATGCATTGTTTATTAATTACCAGTGAAAAGATACTCCCGGCTTCTTTTTCTCGCTACGACTTTTACACTGAAAAGCACAACAATTCACCATGTCTATTAGCACAAAATTTAGTCAAATATTAAAACTTTTTAGTCACAAAATCACAAAATATCAACACTGCCACAGAAGCTTGTTTGCCACTAATAAAATGGCGGCCGGTCAATTGATGTAACAAAAGCCTAGCATTGCGTTAAACCAGTGCGCGGTATCCTCTCCCCTCCCTAATCTAAGGGCCAATCAGAATTTTGCATTCAGGTACGCTGTCACGCTATAAATGTCAAATTACGCTCATGAGAAGCCGCGCTTACGAAAATCCGTCACGATTGATTTAACATAACGTTGCTGAATGATGTCAAATTCTAACGCTGTATTATAGATGGATGTCGACCAAGAATCGTAAACAAAAAGGATAGGATGGACAATCCTAATACATTCGCCAATTCTCGAGCCGGCCGCAGGTCTGCGTCACCGTTATCTAGCAGCTGATAGTGGTGACGTCACCCGCAGACCTCGATGGAATGCTTGCGATTCGGGTATGTGCTTGTGAGTTAATTTTTTCGTCGATTTTAAATGTAGAAAAGCTGATTTTAACGTTAAGGAATTCGTTTTTTTTTTACCTATAGTGTGGATAATGCATTTTACGCCAAGAGGCGAGGTCTGCATCTGACATAGCAGAAACTTTCAGCTCAATATTAAGCAGTTGCGTTCAACAAATAATGATTCGATAATGGTTTTTATTTTACGAGATTCTTATCGATACATATCGATATATTGTATCGATAAGCCCTCATTTATGTTCTAGTTCGAAAGAAGTAGAGCCCCAATAAATTGAACTTGTTTTTTAAAATCATTATTCTCTCTTTCAATATTATGGATTTGAATTATTTGGATGTTTTTATCGTTTCGGAAATAAAAATATCTCATGCCGATAATCAAGTCGAAAAAGTATCATCTATTCGATATAAGTATCGATATTTTTTCAACATCCCTATTTTCAATGATAAAAGAGGGTGGGTGGACCAATGTGGACAGTTTGATTGGAGGTTATCTTTAGGTATATCCCATTTTCCTTTAGTTAATGTTTGTTTAAAAAAATTAGCTGTAGAAAAAAAGTCGTTTTCCCAGAGGTCAAGAGATCTTACATAAGTTCTAGAGAGGAAATTAAACATTTTCAGTTTCATTTTGGTAAGTAGGAAGGATTGGCCAATACACAGGGTGGCCTTCGATAAACTGATATACCTACCTACATTTTGAAGGTAAATATCTCGAAAATTAAATGGGGTTTGTTGTTATGGGAGCATAAAGGATTTTTTATTTATTATTTTTCACAGTATTGTCGAATCCTAAAATTTGCGAATTTTTTAATATAAAATTACCTATTGTACTGGCTGCCCTATTTTTAATGAAACACCCTGTATATTTTGTCATTGTCAGAAAGCCAACTTTTATACTTCACAAAAATGTAAAAGTTTTTTTTGACCACTCATCGTTGGTAGCCTCTTCAAAGTACCTATGTACAATTTTTACCATGCAATTTTGAGGGGTCAATTAAGTTAGCCCCCCACTGAATTTTTCTAAATCAAACATATCCCATGATTTTGCTCCATTTTGGCCTAATAAGTTGGGGGGAGCTACCTTTCATAAATAATTGTATTTATTTTATTGGTGGCCTTATTAGGAGCATAGTGATCCAAATAAGGCCAATGGTAAGTCTCTTTGTTTCATGCAAAAACCACCACTTAAGTATATAAAAAAATAAATAAATTGGTATTAATATTCAAGTAATAGAAGCGAAACACTTCACATATAAGCTCGCATATAAGTTTGTGATTTTCGTTGGGTTTGGTGGATAATGTTAGTAAAAAAAATAAAACTTCTTAATGTGGCCTTATTTGAGACAGGTACCTTATTATTCTTAAGCAGAAAAATTAGATCTTCTGACAATGGCAAAATATACAGGACAGGGTGTTACGTGTTACATTACATTAGAAATAAAATAAGGCAGTGATTTCAAATCAAAAAAATTGCATGTTTGTAAAAACAAACTTTAGGATTTGGCAATACTGTGAACAAAAATCTTTATTCTCCCAGAGCAAACCGCATCTCGTTAACTTTTCTCGTTTTCGAGATATTTGATATGTGTCAGGTTATCCAAGGACATCCTGTATTACTCGTCATTATTTATAGGTTTAATCTCAGAGAAATCACAAACCAGTCAGAGCGTTTTTGATTGGTGCAAATCGGCAGCAACCAGTTTTCTAACTATTTTCAACCAATGAAATTGCCTCTGCCTGGTTTGTGATTTCTGTGAGAACCGGACCTTATATCATTTTCATTTTTAGAGGTTCAAGTGAATAATCATGTCTTCAGAAGAAACACTTCCCCTCTATACCACTGGCACTTTATCAAAAAGATTTCAATTCAGGAATATCAAAACTCTTTTGCAAAATTATAATGAGAGAATTTACTCTGAACCATTTTATCTCGACTTCACCTCATGGCAATTGTTCATTGCAAAAATCATAGATGAAGAACAAGAAGAAGGACCTTATCTATCCATTCATTTAGAAAAAGATGATAACGATTACGAAAACCAATTTTCATATGATGTGAAAAAATCATTCACAATTTTATCGGTTGATGCTTCTAAAAATGTTATCCAAACAGATTTCACTTCTAGCTCTCGTTATGTGTATGGAAAAAGAAATGGAGAACGTATGGCTTGGGGATACCCCCAAGCAATTTTATGGGGAAATCTTTTAAATCCACAAATAGGATACATTTTCTCAAATGATGATAGAATCGAAATTGAACTAAACATGGAATTAGTTTCAGTCATGGGTCACAAGACTTATTGCCAATGTCCGGCATGTGTTTAGTTTAGAAGTATTTTTTATTTTGGTTTTATGCAAATTAGTCCATAAGAATTAAGAATCATTATTATTTGTTTGTTGTAAACTAACAACAGAATATTTTTTGTATCTAGCAGAAAAGGGAGAAAATAAGACAATCAGTTTCAATAAGTTATATAATAATTTAGTTCATATAGGTAGGTACGTACATAGAATAAATTGAATAATTTATTACATTATAAAAGGAACATTTGGTGTGAAATAAATCTTCAAAAAAATAAGTACGAGATAAATATTTGACTAGAGAATAAGCATAAAATTATCAACTTCCTTCTGGGTCGTATTACTTATATAAGTCGAAAAGAGATGAGAAAGTACATACTCAATAAGTGTAATAATTCAAAAGTATATAGATAGATTGGAAATTTCTAATAATATAGATAGCTACTCTTTGATAAAATTTCATATCTCAAATAACTGAAGCACATATTCCATAATATCTCCTAAAACGTATGTGCATTCCTGCAGACACCACACCCTAAAGCAAACTCCTCCCCGGTAGCTGGATGTTTAACGTGCAAAGGACACTCGTCACCTTCAAGCTGCGTAGCTCTCGGCCCTAAAACCAAAAAACTCAAAAAACCAACTTCAAAAACCCATACAAACCTCACCAGCAGGACACAGAGGCAATTCCCCTTTGGACAGATTGGTGACTCGCTGGAAATCGTCGTGGCAAGGGTTGCAAAAGTGAGTGGTACCGAAGCAAAAGAACACGGCTACGGAACAACAGTACCGGCACTTGTACTCTAGGAAATCTGTTCCGTGTTTGGGGCACATTTGGGCACGTGCTACGTCGCTGCAAGCGCCGCAAACCAATTCTGCCGGGTCGTACCCGTCGCCTGCGTCTGCGTCGCATCTTGCTTCACCACCATAATAAGCCTGGAAAAAAATTATGAATTTAAAGTATAATCAATTCAAAGTGTGATGAACTTTCAACAATTAACTACTCATCAAAAATTTCCTGAACCATGAACATTTTTCTCAGAAGTAGGTACCTCTGATGTTTCAAAAATGTTATTGCGGGTTTTCTTTGGACGTTTGTTTTTTGGAACTGCACCAGATACGTAGTCCTATCATACAAGAACAGAACTAAAATTTCTCACAATTACTACCATTTGGTATGAAGCATTGTTGATCAGCCATTTTCAAACGCATCAAATTCTGGAAATAGATTTATTGTTGATTGTTGTTCTGATCATGTGATCTGATGAAGATCTCAAATGTTTTGTCAATCAGACCAAACAGGGAAAAGTCAAAAGTTTCTACATCTCTATACAGGGTGAAGGAATATTAAGCTCTTATTGAGTAAATAATAATAATTCTTATGGAATAAAATAGCCAACAGTTGACTTTATATCATCAGCTTTGTACCTTTTCTTGGGAATTTTGTCTGATAACGAATTTCCTTAGGAAAAAGTCAAAAGTTTCTACATCTCTATACAGGGTGAAGGAATATTAAGCCCTTATTGAGTAAATAATAATAATTCTTATGGAAAAAAATAGCCAACACTTGATTTTATATTATCAGATTTGTTCCTTTTTTTAGAAATTTTGTCTGATAACGAATTTCCTTAGGGAAAAGTCAAAAGTTTCTACATCTCTATACAGGGTGAAGGAATATTAAGCCCTTATTGAGTAAATAATAATAATTCTTATGGAAAAAAATAGCCAACACTTGATTTTATATCATTAGATTTGTTCTTTTTTCTGGAAATTTTGTCTGATAATGAATTTCCTTAGGGAAAAGTCAAAAGTTTCTACATCTCTATACAGGGTGAATGAATATTAAGCCCTTATTGAGTAAATAATAATAATTCTTATGGAAAAAAATAGCCAACACTTGATTTTATATCATCAGATTTGTTCCTTTTTTTAGAAATTTTGTCTGATAACGAATTTCCTTAAGAAAAAGTCAAAAGTTTCTACATCTATATACAGGGCGAAGGAATATTAAGCCCTTACTGAGTAAATAATAATAATTCTTATGGAAAAAAATAGCCAACACTTGATTTTATATCATCAGATTTATTCCTTTTTTTAAAAATTTTGTCTGATAATGAATTTCCTTAGGAAAAAGTCAAAAGTTTCTACATCTCTATACAGGGTGAAGGAATATTAAGCCCTTACTGAGTAAATAATAATAATTCTTATGGAAATGAATAGCCAAAACTTGATTTTATATCATCAGATTTGTTCCTTTTTTTGGAAATTTTGTCTGATAACGAATTTCCTTAGGGAAAAGTCAAAAGTATCTACATCTCTATACAGGGTGAAGGAATATTAAGCCCTTATTGAGTAAATAATAATAATTCTTATGGAAAAAAATAGCCAACACTTGATTTTATATCATCAGCTTTGTTCTTTTTCTTGGGAATTTTGTTTGATAACGAATTTCCTTAGGGAAAAGTCAAAAGTTTCTACATCTCTATACAGGGTGAAGAAATATTAAGCCCTTATTAAGTAAATAATAATAATTCTTATGGAAAAAAATAGCCAACACTTGATTTTATATCATTAGATTTGTTTTTTTTTTTTGTAAATTTTATCTGATAATGAATTTCCTTTAAAAAATTGTTTAATTTTCTGAGAATTTTTCTGAATCCTCATATGGGTTGAATTTGGATATCCTTAGATAATGCTTAGTTATGGAGATACAGTTGTTTGTGATAAAAAAAAGGTACCTTTTGAGTCGACTAGATTTACCGTAAGTCATATTCCAGTCAATAGATACCTTTTGTTATCACTAACAAACCTGCCAAATATGGAAAAAAAAACATAGAAAAGGAAATTTTGAGTAGGTAAAAAAAACGATTTTTTTTTTTCAAACTTTGACACCCTGTATTTCGAAAACTAAGCATTTGCGGACCCATGTTTCTATTTTAATGAGCAATATTTATCCCAGACGTTTGATCCCACTATTCATCAACACCCTGTATAATATAAATGCAAGCAATACACCTATTTTGCTATCGAGAAACTTCATCAACATGAAGAGACATAATATCTAGGATGATGTGGTTAAAAGAGTCGAAAGAATGAGTGATTACGTATATATCTTATTATGATTAATTCATTTAATAAAATCTCAATTGATATTTGATTAGGAATTTCCAAAAATCTGACATTATCTCGATCTGTTTTACAATACCTGTCCTAATATTAAATTCTTATCAAGGTAAAGTTTGATATTCTACGATTTGGTCATCGAACAAATTGTTGTTTTCCCTGGAAATGCATGACATCATTATTAATCCCAGGCAATTTTTTTCATCCATAAAACCTTGGAACCAATCTGGAGGCAAGAGAAACTGCTTGAGAATTTCTACTGAAAATAGTAAGACTGTTGACTTTGATTAGTACCATTGTATGTCATCCCCATTCACATTCCAATAGAATTTCGATTTTTTTTTGAGTGCTGTTTGTGTTATTCTATATGGCACTGTTTCAGAGATTCTATTTGAATTTTCAAACTAGAAATTGGTAGTTGTGGAAAAGGTTCTCCTTATTGAGTTTTTGTGAAACTTAGAAGTTTTGATATGAAATAGCTGTTCAATTTGTTGGTAAACTTTTCTGAGAAGCCCCTTCTCATTTTTCTCAGTAAGTCAGTACACCCAGGTATCTCACATACTCAAAGCCTAAGGCAGACAGGAAAAACTGCTACAAGTTAGACTTTACTTGATCTTTTTTTTACACCTTTTAAAAATGGCTCTCGCCAATTTCAGAATATCTAGAGTGTCCATAGCTTATAATATGAGCAATAGGTAGGCATCAAATTTCAAGCAATAATCTACTTAGAAATGATATTTGCCCTTTGGACTTCTAAAGAGAGACACCAAAAAACATAAATGAAACCCAATTCATAATATCTGTCAGACAAGAATCAATTTTATCCCGCATACAAAATCCTACCTTACTGCATTTGTAACAAACATAATAAGCGTATCTCTCCATGGAATAAGAAGCGGGATCGTTGTAGAAACGAGCTCCGGGCGTCGAAACAGCTTCCACAGTGTGCAGACCTTCGTATTCAAGTCGCATTAGGGCTTTTCTACGGACGTCTTTGAATAACTCTTGGATTGGCTGTAGAAGCTCTTGTAGAGTCGGATGACTTATTTCAACCTAGAATAAATCAATAACTTAAGAATTCAGATACTCAGACACTTACCTTGCAAATAGGACATAGTGAAAACGAAAAAGTGATCCTTGGTCCTGCCCATCGTTTCATTAAAACAGCTTTGCAGCAATGTAAGTGGAACACGTGTCCGCATTGTAGCTGAAATAATAAAATTAAATTAACCACTTGATTTTTTGATTGCTTATCTTCTACTATATGTATAAAATAGAAAAAACTCATTAATTCAAACACATTAGTCGTTCCAATTTCAAATCAATCACAATGAATCAATCAGTGCTTCTCCTTTGTACAATATTATTTGTAGCCATAGGAGCTGAAATGAGTAAGTACCAAAATTTTTCATCAATAATAACTAGATTTATATTAAATTTTTGTAGTTTGTCCTGCAAAAGACCCAGCAGTGCCCGTATTCTTCGAAGACCCCAAAGATTGCGCCTCTTTCTATGAATGCAGCAACGGTAAACCGGTACATTTGGAATGCGCTCCGCAAACTTATTTCGACCCAACAATAGGACGTTGCAACTGGTCAGGAAAGGTCGATTGTGGTGACCGTCCGACCACTCCAGGAGCTGAACCCACTCCACCAATACAATTTCTCTCATAGGAAGTTTAATACCTTAACACTTATACAATGAGTTAATTTATGATAAGTAAGATTTCAATTTTGAATAAAATGCTGCAAGTAAAATCCCGTCTCAATTTTTTCTTTGCAACTCTAATTGATTTTACTGACAAGGCAGAAATGAACTTTGCACTAGAAATGTTTGAAGTCTTTGGTCCAAATTCCAGTAAAAGCAAGATTAAAATTGCCTACTTATTTTTATTACAATAGGAAATATAGTTTTGTATTATCTCAATTGATTTTGATAAAAAGCTTTCAAAGATTCAAGTAGCTAACAAACAATTTTTTTTTTTTAGTTTCCTGTAGGTATCTGAATGATGAAACTGAAAAGTCAGACATAATTCTGAAAACTATAAACAATAACAAACATTTCCGAGAAAATATAAAAACCAATCAAACTCCCAAGAATTAAGAGATAAATTAGAAAAAAAATCTTATCTAAATCCCTAATCCGCTATAAATAGGCTTTTCAAAACATTATCAATGATATTACCAAATCAGCAACAATGTTGAAAAAAATTAGTTATTTGTGCAACCAGTTGGGAAAAGCACGTACTATTCTTCGTAACGAGTAGATTTCAAAGCGAGTTACGAAAAATAGTGTTTCCTAACGTGTTTCACACAATATTTTTTCTAATTTTGTATATTATGATCTGATCTATTCAAATTCCAGTCAAAAACATAAAACATTTTCCCTGATATAGGTAATTATTTCTAAATCGTCAAATTGTCAAGTTTGGCAAATCAAACTGGTCATTGTTTTCGGCAAACATCGACTATCTATTCTGCTTGTAAATTTTGTGGATGATTTGCTGAGAATTGAATAGCATGGGTGGTGGAAGTCTAATACAGCCGCTAATGGGGGATGCGGAAAATTCAATAACTATTAATAAACAGAAAATTGTCAGCAACTTCCCTAAAGAGACTTCTATGGCAAAAACATTCAATATATTCAATTAATTAATGCTAGACAAAAAACTATGTTATCAATAATTGTTTAAATTGTGTTAAATATTAATATTTAACTAATTAGTTTTTTTCCATACGTTGTCATATTATGTAACATTTGAATAAAATTAAATCTTCATAATATGCACGTACAAAGAATATAACAACAACAAAGTTCTTCGAGTAGTTCAGCCCCAAAAGTATCACAGATTTTGTTCTTGTATTTTTTGCAACTGATGGTGAAATTTACTTTTCATCACCAGTTGCGAAAAATTTTACTTTTCGTAACTGGTGATGAAAAGTAAATCATTTGATAACGTCAACGAGTTTTGAAAAGTGTCACTTTAAATGTCAAAATTAGAAAATAGTAATTTTTGAATTAAGGCGAATTTAAACAACATCATAACTTTAATTTAGTGCGTATATTCACAATTTAGTGCATAAACTTTAAAGTTAAATTTATTAATTTCTATGGAAGCGTTTATACATCTTTTTAATGCTCAATTCATAATTTAGTTCATAATGGATAACCTTAAAAGTTCCCAACTTTTAACTTTTATGCATTAAGTGGCGTTTCCACATGCATAGTTTATTGGTGCCAGTCGACTGGCGCAACTTTTCTGGCGCATGGAAACTCGGAAAATCAACTGGCGCCAGTTAACTTGCGCCACTTATCCATACGCCAGTAAAGTAGAATGGAGGTCTACTTTTTGGCGACAGTTTGTCATGTGCGACAGTTTGTCAAAAAAAATACAAACGTTTCCGCTAGTCGTTTTGAGAAAAACAATGAAAATGAAAATCTATAGAATGGAACATATTATAAAGTTTTTGGAAGTTTATGAAGAGCATCCCTGTTAGTGGAATCACAAACTTTTGGGTTACAAAGACAAGAATAAACGGGATGATGCTATAAGGAAGGACAAGTGTTGAGGTAATATCCGAGTTCGGATTCGTAAGTGGTTTTGATATTACCACTGCTAAAAGTAAAATAAGAAGCAGTAGTACATGGTCTTCATCCGATAACTCAGACAGTAAATTATTTGATACTTCAAGAGTTTTTTTGCGTGAAATCCATTTTCGTACCATCTCGTGTTTACGTCCCTCTTCTTTTTGCTTTTTCGTATCTTCTGCAATTTTAGTAACAGAATTTCTACAACAACATTAAAACCTGCTTGAACTTCTTCAGTTGACGCCATTTTTCTACTGCGCCAGTTAAAAGTTTCTGATATCAAGTGGAAACAGACACTGGCGCCACTATTATTACGCCAGCAAACTAGCACGTGCACTAGCGCCAATAAACTATGCTTGTGGAAACGCCGCTTAAAGCGGCGTTTCCACATTGTTTGCCCACAGGCCCTTGACCAGTGTTAGGGCGGTGATAAGACTGCGGAAATTACTTTAATGTGTTTCTATTAATCAGTAGAAGCTAGATTTAGATTATCACATATTATCACAGATTTCGTTATATTATAAATGTCGGAACATGAGGTTACCATATTTAAGCTAGGTAGGTGTTTCTACTTCAGTGGAAGTGGTAGAAGAGAGCGTCGCGCGTCGTCTCCCATCTCAAGTACTCTGTAGCACTTTGACTTTTGACGTTGCAGTGTTGCCGAAAAGCTATTCATATTAAAGCCAGTTTACAGGACACTGCAACCAGCATAAACCTCAACGCGTCAACATGCGTTTTTAAAAAATAAGGCCCCTGCGGGGCCCGGGGCTCCAGCCCCTTTAGCCCCCCCCCCTTAATACAGGCATGCGCCTTAGCGTCTGAATTTCGTCCTCCATACTATCGTCGTCCGAGGAAATCGAAGAACTATAGTGGAATTAATTAAAGGGCGGTTACACACGGACGTGGATGTCTTAATACATATACGTGCATACATCAACGTACAACCAAGAACGTGCATGGCGCTTTTGTACAAACGCTCGCACAAAACTGCAGTCTTGCTATTCTTGCTACAGTATTCCAAGTGTGCATACAAAATTGCACATTCGGGTGTAAAACGCTTTAGTGCAACAAAAATTAACAAATTTTCTATAAAAATTAGTTGTTATATCCTTTATACAGTTGGTTTTGTATCAATTTAAGTGCGGATATTGACGTTTTTTGCCGTAGTAAGCGAATATTCACATTCACAATTACTTACACATAACCAGTAGATATTAAACCAGTAGATATTATAACCAGTAGATATTGAACGAACTGTAACTCAAACTAACCAAAAGTATGCAAACTAACCCAAACTAACCCGTCCACGTAATGCGTGCGAGTCCTTGTATGTTGATATTGAATTTAAAGGTAATTTTTGGGCTCTCGGGAACGGGCTATAGGGCGTTTTCTGATCAAGTTCATTTTTGGTACACATATATAGGACGTCAAAAGAAATTTGCCGCTATATACCGAGTTTTAGCCTTCAAGGTCATACACATTCAGAGATACGGCAACTCCGCATTCTCAGTTTGGGCTCTCGGGAACAGGGTAGAAGGCGTAGTCCGATTGAATTCATTTTTGGTATACATATTTAGGCCGTAAAAGGTAACAGTTCAGTAAAGACCCTTCAAAAAAAATATCATGCTTCTTCATTATAGATAGTTTAGTTTGATCCCAAAATATTGTTTTATGATCGAAAATGTTGGCGCAAATAACTATAAATTGGATTTTATAAATATTGAATGAATCCTCTTCTCGACCTTTGACACAGATCAATATATAATATCTATTCTTATCAGCTTAATATCACAATCGCTCTGTTTAGCAGATAAAAATTTAATAAACGTAAAAAGCATCATGTGGTAGATATTCGAATGAAGAGAAGAGCTAAGTGTTCAAACCATTTTTTGAAAAAAACATTATTGAGTAATGATAAAGCGTATAATATCTACTGAACTTTTGAAATTGGTACACTTTAACCGACAATAACTGTGCTTTATCGAAACTGATCAAAAATATGCAAACTAACCCGAACTTACCCGTCTTTATACTGCGTGCTAGTCCTCGTAAACCTATCTAATCGAGAATTACAAAATAATGCAAAACAACCCAAATTAACCCATTCTTGAAATGCATGCTAGTATCTTTGAACATTTTTATTTTATCTAGCTTGTCGCGCTTGGTTGTCGTTGTTAATCAGTACACTGTATCCAGTTTTAGATAAGTAATTAATATTCAATATCATGATGTTTCCTATTAAAAGTGTCCAAATTGGCCCACCCTGTACATAATTTCAGCACGATAAATAGATATTTACGTGAATTTCACTGGTGAAGGTCACGGTCAAGTCCTTCTAGTCCATTCCCGAGAGCCCAAACTGAGAATGCGGGGTTGCCGTATCTCTGAATGTGTATGACCTTGAAGGCTAAAACTCGGTGTGTGGGTTATTTATGATGCTCTTCGGCGCTATACATAATTTCAGCACGATAAATTGATATTTATGTGAATTTCACTGGTCAAGGTCACGGTCAAGGTCGCGGCTAAGGTCAATTTTTTCTTGGAAAAATTTCTTTCAGCGGCCTTTATATGTATACCAAATATGAACGGAATCGGAGTATGCGTTCTACCCTGTTCCCGAGAGCCCTAATCATACCAATTTAAAAAACAAAGCCCACTTCGCGCGCTGTGTTCTCAATCAGTACACTTATAACCAGTAGATACGAACTGTGACCAAAACTAACCAAAAATATGCAAACTAACCCAAGCTAACCCGTCCACGTAATGCGTACTAGTCCTATGCAAACTAACCCAAACTAACATACCTTTAAATTGAACCACTTTAATTTATAGATTTTTCTTGAAAACTAATACAATCCGCATATTTTTATATTGAAATCGGCCCAAAAAGGCTAACTACAACATTAGGAATGCATCTTATAAGAAACTACGTGTTGCACTAAAGCGTTTTACCACCGCACATTCAAAAACGCGACGATATTTTGCATACACATTGATGTTTTTGTTTGCACGTTCATGTATGTGCGTACATGTTTTCAGACATCCACGTCCGTGTGTAACCGCCTAAACAGTGTATGCACGTGATCAAAATTACTGACATAGGCACGTCGCAATGTTGCCGCTATTAACTTTCGTTTTACTTTGACATACCATGTCTAGTAAAATTTGTTATCACTAAAGCAAACAAACATCGATTTTTATATGTATAGATAGTGTATTATGAACACAATCTAAAAAAACTACTCACTTTTCGTCGTAAATTTGA